AGCTGGACGACGTCCCGGGCGGCGCGGACTCGTTCGAGCTGGCGGCGCGGTTCTGCTACGGCATGGCGGTGGACCTGACGGCGGGCAACATCTCGGGCCTCCGGTGCGCCGCCGAGTACCTGGAGATGACGGAGGACCTGGAGGAAGGCAACCTCATCTTCAAGACGGAGGCGTTCCTCAGCTACGTGGTGCTGTCGTCGTGGAGGGACTCCATCGTGGTGCTCAAGACCTGCGAGGGACTCTCGCCCTGGGCCGAGAACCTGCAGATCGTGCGCCGCTGCAGCGAGTCCATCGCCTGGAAGGCCTGCGCCAACCCGCGCGGCGTGCGGTGGGCCTACACCGGTGCCACCGGAGGTGGTGGTGGGAGGCCGCCCAGGGCAGGCGGTGGCGTGGGGAGCCCGCGGTGGAACCTCGGCGGCGGCGGCGGCGGGGACTCCAAGGAGTCGAGCCCCGGCAGGCAGGCCGCCGTGCCGCCGCCGGACTGGTGGTTCGAGGACGTGTCCGTGCTCCGGATCGACCACTTCGTGCGCGTCGTCACCGCCATCAAGGTCAAAGGTACCAATGATACCAACCGCTTGCTTAATCACACTGTATCTGTACGTTTTACCTGTTTAAGCTACTGCTCCTAGTTGATTATCTATCTCTGATTAGTAGCTAGCCCTAGCAGTGCTTAATTAGATCGATGGACGACGATACATGCACGTTCTGATCCAGTTACATGAGTGCAGTGCATGCAGCCCGCCCGGATTATTAGGGCCTCTTTGGCACGGCTTATGTCGGCTTCGGCTTCATCTATTTTGCGCAAATCGAGGCACTGTAGCGTGAAGCTATTTTATAAGCCACGGTTAAAATGAACTAGAAACCGATAAAAGCCAATTTTTCTGGCTTCAGCGGCCTTGACTTCACCGGTGAAACCGTTTTGGATGAGCCGTGCCAAAGGGGCTTTAGTACCGTTCAATGTTCCTTCCTCCTGTCGAGAAAACAACATTTTTATCTGTGTGCATGTGAGGAAAACAAAACATTTTATGATGGAAGTGTCATGAACAGTGAAGCACAGTGTACGTTGTTCAAGCTGTGCCAAGACACTGCCACAATCACATTAGTTGCCGACAGGGAAGCTGGGCCCATGGGGGATAGGGCCAAATCAAACTTTACTCCCAGTAGTGACCCAGCCGGCCGTTTACGTTCCCGGCTTAAGCTATTTTTCCCTTTTACCGAATCACTAGTCACACATCCTCTGCTTTTGAAATTGCATGGTTAGCAAAAGTTACATTAACAGTAGCAATTCTGCTAGATTTGATGAATCCTGTGAAACCAAAGGATAGAATTTTCATCCATCTCTTCTCTCTCCAGAACCAGAAAAAACGAGACAAAACTAGCGCTCCAACTTTCAAAACCATCAGTGCAAATTACGCCAACTGTTGTTTTCATTGGCGGTCTCGTGTGATGCTGGAATGTTGGAGCCACATCAATATCGCTCATTTTGAGAGACAAGCCGTCACATCGTCCTTTCCATTCTCTTGGAGGACATGCCGGTCAGATCGCCAGGAGACGTGGTTTGCCTTGCAAATCAAGATGAATGCAGAGATTATGTGGTAAAGACACAGTGATGTTGTTCCCCAAAAATAAAAAAGACACAGTGATGTTGATGCCAATTATTACGTACTCATCACCAACTAAACCAAAACCTAAACATAATTTGGGCAACGCACGCATCTTCCTCCTCCCCGTGCACAGGTTTCAGGGATCTCCGGCAGCCTTAGAAAGTGAGAGGCCCGGGGGTGGCCGGCTGGACAGGCGGGTTGACCGGCGGCAAACGAGGCAGTGGGGGAGTCGCCGAGGGGGCGGGGTAGGACAACCAGATGGCAAGTGCCGCCAGCTTGGTAGTGGTGGTTGGTGAGCGGCGCGGCCGCGACGAGGGAGGTCGGCGGCAGGAGTGGGCTGGTGCGGTGGCAAGAGGAAGAAGATGAACAGTGCATGATTGGAACGTTCGTTTCAAATTCAATGGTTGTGGTTCCTCGCCTGAATGAAAAAACAAAATCAGGCACCTGACAAATAGCAATCCCCTTTTGTATCAGTTGATACTTGAGCGTCGGGAGATGGGTTGTATCTGATTTTGGTGATGAAGAGGAATTGTTGATGTTTCAGAAATCAGAACATTATTACTATTATTACATAATTATCTGTAAAATAAAACTTGAAACCGTTTCCTGTTCGTTGCCTCTTCGTGGGTAGGCATGCGGTTCGATCTGATCGGCGCGTCCATCACCCACTACGCGTCGAAATGGCTGCCGGGGCTCACCAAGGACTGCCCGCACGGCGGCGCGCTGGACGAGCCGTGGGCTCACGCGCAGGCGTCCCCCGGCAGCGGGCTCCACATGATCATCGCCAGCGGCAGCGACGGCGGCGGTGGCGGCGGCACGGACGACACCGCGGGGAGCGCGCCGGCGCGGGAGCAGCGCATGGTGGTGGAGAGCCTGATCAGCATCATCCCGCCGCAGCGCGACAGCGTGTCGTGCGGCTTCCTCCTCCGCCTGCTCCGCCTGGCCATCATGCTCAAAGCCGCCCCGGCGCTGGTGACGGAGCTGGAGAAGCGCGTGGGCATGCAGCTGGAGCAGGCCGTGCTGGCCGACCTGCTCATCCCGTCCTACGGCCGCGCCGACACCGCCTACGACGTCGACCTCGTGCAGCGCCTCGTCGAGCACTTTCTGGTGCAGGAGCAGACGGAGCTGCTGATGGCGTCGTCCAGCCCCCCCGGCCGCGCGGGGGACCAGCCGTCGGTGCTGCCCGAGTACTACGGCGCCAGGACGGCCGCCGCAGCGGCGTCGGCGTCGGCGGGGCTGAACGCCAAGGCGCGCGTCGCTCGGCTGCTCGACAGCTACCTCTCCGAGGTGTCCCGCGACCGTAACCTGTCCCTGACCAAGTTCCAGGTGCTGGCCGAGTCGCTCCCGGAGTCGGCGCGCACCTGCGACGACGGCCTCTACCGCGCCGTCGACTCGTACCTCAAGGTATGTACTAGGTAAATGATCGATCGATCGATCATCAGCTGCTTGCTACTGCTGTTGATTTGATTCTTCCATCTTCGTTCGTTGTAATCTTGGCGACGACGATGATGCACTGCTGTTCATCAGGCGCACCCGACGCTGACGGAGCACGAGCGGAAGCTTCTGTGCCGTGTGATGGACTGCCAGAAGCTGTCGCTGGACGCGTGCATGCACGCGGCGCAGAACGAGCGGCTGCCGCTGCGGGTGGTGGTGCAGGTGCTCTTCTCGGAGCAGGTGAAGATCAGCAACGCGCTGGCCAGCTCGTCCTCCAGCGCCGCCTCCGCGCTGCTGGCCAACAAGGTGGGGGACGCCGTGGGGCCGCCGCCAATGCCGCCGACGCGGCGGCAGCTGCTGGACGGCACGCCGCAGTCGTTCCAGGAAGGGTGGGCGGCGGCGAAGAAGGACATCAACACGCTCAAGTTCGAGCTGGAGAGCATGAAGGCCAAGTACCTGGAGCTGCAGCACGAGATGGACGCGCTCCAGAAGGTGGTGGAGCGCGGCGGCGCGCCGTCGCCCGCGGCGGGGCCCAAGGCCGCCGCCGGCGGTGTTGGTGGAAAGAACCAGAGCCAGGGGCCCTCGGCGTGGAGCAGCGGGTGGAAGAAGCTGGGCAGGCTGGCTAAGATGAGCGGCGGCGACGGGGCGGGGCAGGACGGGCACGTGCCCGGAGCGCCCGGAGAGGCTCCGAGGAAGCCGCGGAGGTGGAGAAACTCCATCTCGTGAGCAGAGCAGAGCCGGTGCTTCGTTCGTAGCGAGCAGTGTAGGCGGGAGACGGCGGGCGGCCTAGTAACTTGTAGCAGCACCCATTTTCATGCATGTAGTTCAGACTTCATGGAGTTTTTTTCGAGATTTGAACCAAACCACAAAGCAGAGTTGCCGAGATTGCGCGTGTGCGTGTGTGCAGGCTGCAGACTGTCCTAGGAGAAGATCATCTAATCAATTTCCAGTGTGCTGCATTTGCCATGTTGTCAAACAGTGTTAGAATGCCAGCGATCGAACACAGGGACTCAAGCCCTCAACCATGCAAATCAACTTGTTTGAGTCCTGAATGTCGTGAGATTTCCGTCTCGTCTCTCTACGACAGCAGTGAGTGTTCACATGGCAATAGTATGCACGAAATAGCTACTAGGATGCGTCCAACAAAACAAGAAGGAAGGCATGGAAGAGGGCTGGTGTGCGGTCAGTACGGCGTCCCTGTCCGCGGCCCATACCATATGCCAGATCCGTCGGCTCGACCGCGACACATTCGTAGCGTGCTCCCTGCAGCTTCGCTCTCATCCTTGTCAAGCTCTCATTCCTGCTGCTCTCCACTCACACGGCCAGGGGCGCAAGCCAACAATTGATGCATTGCCGCCGGTGTCTGTATGCATCCATGCTAGCTCCTGCCTCTGCTAGAATTGACTACCTGAAAGAACCGCAACTCCTTGACAACATCGTCACCAGAGATGAACCGTCCCTTCAAACCAAACATATCAAAAAATTTTTAAAAATGGCCCCAAGGCCAAGCTGCCCTCAGACCAAGTACTGTGCAGATCAAACATCAAACTGGATAAAAGCAGCAGGGGAAGCGACAAGACAAGGCCTCTGCTTCTGTTACAAAGCTGTAGCAATTTGGAACACTGCCTACTATGCCCAATGCCCCATGGGACAAGAACTGTCAACTTTACAGACATGCAAATTACACCAGAAGAGGCAGTGAGCTGAATTATTATTATCACATCCAACAAAATATATACGAAACCAGCAATATCTCCAAACTGAAGCGAAATCACCTGTTTTTTTTTCGCGACCATGCTTATGCATGTATATCATTAAGTAGAAGGGGAGTTTTACAAGGACTTTCGCTGGCTATCCCAGCATGCGAGTGGCACGCCATGGATTCCCAGTGATGATCCTGTAAGAGCTAAAAAAGCCAACCGGCAATACTACAGGAGCTATTACACAACATTAAATTCGCGACTAGAAGAGCGAAATCACCTGTTGCGCAAGAGCCTCGATACAGTAATCCCACAGCATTATATTTACAGCTAACAGAATATAGAGAACAGCCAGTAACCTCATCATGTTCATACGGCATCCAAGCAACATTAAGGACGGATAACGAGTATTCATCTAAGGCAAATCGTGACCACTCCAGTATCATCCATTCGGCGGATTTAGGCTTAGGCAGCTGGATCAGCCTACGGAGCTTTTCATAGAGAAACAATGAAAACTTCTTCAGAACAAATATAGGGCCTGTTTAGATCCCTTCCGGTTTGGAAAATGGACACTGTAGCACTTTCGTTTGTATTTGGTAAAAATTGTCCAATTATGGACTATTTAGGCTTAAAAGATTCATCTCGCCAATTACGAGCAAACTGTGCATAGTAACAATTTTCAATTAGTTATTCTTTTTTCACTCGTTTTAATGCTTTCTGTCGCGTCTTTTTGAAGATTCAATATGAATTTGGAGAATCTTGGAAAATTTTAGATTTTGGGTGGGACCTAAACAGGCCCATAAGCAGCCTAGCCTCGAACATGTTACATGCTACTCTGTCATCTCGAAACTTGTTTCTGGCACCACCAACAGATTCAGAATATGTTTTCAAAACAGTCAGAATATCTGTCATCTCGAAGCTAGTAGTTTGGGCCAAAGGAATTGGGTATTCGCTGTCAACGTCTTCCCAAAAACTATCCATGGACACATCTGTCATCCCAAAGTCTAATGTGCCCTGTGGACATGGCGGCTCCGACTTCTTGCTCCAGATGTGAAGAGTGGTGACCATAGTGTTGACCATAGTCACAACTTTTACCCAACGTTGACGGGGGCGACGGCTTTCTCCAGTGATCACCTCATGTTTCAGATTGTCATATGCTATCGCCTTGGAGCCTTGCACTATACCCTGAATGTCCAGAGAAATTGTCTTGATTTCTTATGCTAGAAGACTAGATGCATACATGCAGGGATCATGCATGCGCACATATAGATGTGCCTCCAAATATAAACATGTACGATTTTTGTGCAACTTTGCTTAGGTGAGATTATGCAGAATGGCAATGGGATTCAATAGAATTAACAGAAAAAGAAAGGAGTTGCTATATTTTAGGTGCCTGAATTTTCAGGCAACAATCTTTGACAATCAACTGGTACAATTAAAAAGACACTTCGGCACCTGAAATATAGGAGAAGTGTATTCATCATAAACTTGGGAGTTGCTATATATCATATGGCAACAATTTTTTACAATCAACTAGTACAAACTAAAAGACAATTCATATTTTTTTTGTATTATAAACAATAATAAAATTACATGTTATCTGAACAACAATAAAAGATCAGACACCTGAATAACAGAAGTGAAAAAAAAAAGGTATAGTTGGGTAGGATCTAAACGTGTACACATACTATAAATTGGGTCTAGAAATTCCTAATGCTTTCAGTTAAATGCATGGATTTATTATTATTTAAATATGGATATACAGATTCGATGACATAAATAAGCTATTAAATACAGCAATCTAAACTATTTTGAGTTCCATAGACCGACCTGAAAAAAAGGAACGAAAATTAAACGAATACCTTCTGAGTATTGTCAAGTTATGAAAATCAGTGTAGTAATTACCTTCTGAGTATTGTTAAGTTCTTCATAAGAAGTGTATTTACCACTGAATTCTGCACCAACAATTTGGTATAGTGAGGTGAAGAAAAATGTAGTGTCCGTTCCAGGAATGCGGTATGAATAACGTTCAGGTCCTGGTTTACAACTTAGAGCATGTCCAACTATGATGTTCCAATCATGGTCTGGGATATTTTGACAAGCCTGTACCATATGAAACAGGTTATATCAGATACCTATTGACATCATAAAACGTTACCGGAGAACATAAGCGAATGAGTTGATGATAGAACTTTTTTCTCATACTTCACGCAGATTGTTTGTATCCTTATTGTAGAATTACAAAAAGTCTTTAACCAGATTTATGTTCATCTTCTCCAGTTGCTTGCGCCTGTCACCATTTTCTCCAATTTTCTTCAGCTTGTAACAGATCCTTCTTTTTCTCTGTAGAAGCAGGGCATTGATATTTGACAAAAATTAAAAGTGTAGGGCATAAAAGTTTTAGAAGTACAGGCCTGAAATTTCTAGAGTTTTAAGGCCTTACTACTATACAGACAATGATGCTGTGAGTAGGTCTTTAAGTAGTTAAATTAGAAGTTACCATCCTTTATAAAAATAAATATGCTTGTAGAAAATAATCATGTCAAAGAGGAATCGTAAACATAACAAAAGAATTACATTACGATCATCTTTGCATTCATTTCCCCACAATTAGCTACCATAACAATAGCTTATCACTAGATTCACTTATCTGCTAAAGGAAATACAAACAAGATGGGAAATGTTGACATGAAGAGAAGCATGTATGAGTAAATGGAGCAATATAAAAACTTACGGTACCCGTGACCATCCTTTACAGCAAAAGATTCAGATATTCCTTCCAGAATTTTTTCTGATATATTATCATCATCTGCCATGGCTCCCAACTTGAACTTCTTGCTTGGAACAAAACTTGAATTGTCTTGGAATTTGACGCCACAGAGGGGAGCCACACCATTTTCAAGCCTTAGATACAGTTCATTGGCAAACAAAGGTTGTTTTCCTGGCCGGCAGTGTACTATGCTTGTTTTGAAGGAGTTTTCATTCCACTGCTCTTTATTTTCCTTGTTAAACTCACCATCCAGGACAACAATCTTAACTTGAATGGAGGATAAGGGTCCATTTGTGATGACCCTATTTTCTTTATCATATATGGCTACCTTAATAGGAGTTCCATCATCTGCCATTATATCGTGTCTCGAGTACTTGTCATTGCAGCACTTATTCTCAAATTTCAACTGATGTGTTCTTATTTCGCTCAGAGGGGATAAAACCCTGAAAACATATTTTAATCAATTAACGAATGGAATATATCGGTGCATCACTTCTAAATTTTCACTCAATTAGAATACACAAAAAGGTCGTTAAACTCTGTAATGAGATAAAATACCAGTATTTTCATAAAGAAAATATTTCCTACCTAAGATCACTGTGTTTGCCAACATGTTCTCCAAGTCCACTTGTCTCCTGTCACAGGAACAACTTAAAATTCATCAGTTGAAATAAATATAATTGTTAGCTCAGAGATTATGATAATCTCTTATTAACACAATCGATTTACTTAGTTTGACCCAGAATCCCTAGTATATGAATGTTAGAAGTTAAAGATGTGCTTCAACCCATCAAAAATTTCCATTGTAACTATATGCTCCTGATCTTCTTAATCGAAAAAACTATATGCTCCTGTTCATAATGTAAATATATTAAGTTTCATTTTATAATCACTAATGGAGGATTCACAACCAGAATTTTAGACTTCTCCTAGTGTTTTAGCATTCAAAGTTTAGTATAAATTTTCTACTAAATGTCTCCTAGTGAGATTCCCATGTGCTATGACTAGTGGTAGTGTTTTATTACTACTTAAAAACACTAGGAGAAGCCCACCATTTTGGTAGTGATTAGGTGTACTTAGTGTGCATCCGGCGTTCTTGGCTTGGTTTCCATCAAGTGAAGTTTGAAGACTTATTACTCAGTGTTTGCCAGCACCTAGACAGCCCAGGGAGGACTAGGTGACGTTCTAGATGGACCGATGGAGTTACTTTGTCGCTTGTCAGAAACCTCCTAGAGATGTTTTCGGTTTGAAATCCGCCAATCCGGTGAGAAGGGGTATTCCAGTCTTGGTGACAAGTGAGCATAATAGAGTCCTGGTGACTCTTCGGTGCTCCAACATGGATTAGGGGTAGTGGCAATTACATGAGACCATGGGAAAAAAATTCAGTTGTCTCTTTTTTGTCATTCTTGCATTTCCTTTGCTACAGTGTTGTTCAGGCATTTTTGTATTTCACACTTGCTTGGTTGGAAGTTCTTGAGTAGCAACTATATATATATATATATTGCTTCTCCATGCTACAGATCTCCTCGTGATATCTCTAGGCATATATAGGGCTAGCCGGCTTTAAATTCCCAACATATACACTAAGGACCTTATCTTAGTGTGGTCAGGAGTAAGGAAATTAAACTGTTTGACTTTAAGGCCCTAAGGACTTGATTTAGTACAATCTTTTAGTCTTAAATCTTAACCATGCAAAGGGTGTGTCGTTTGATCGTTTCTGCATAGCCTAAGGTTTGTTGCTCTAAATATTTTAGAGCCCAATTCAACCCTTCTCTTGGACCATTCAGTCCTTTCTGCTAACCTTTCTTACACATTAGAGAGTGCTATTGTGTTACATAGTTTGACCCATAATTCCTAGCATAAGAATATTATTAAGACGTTAAAAGTGTGCTTCAATTCATGAAAACACATTTTCCTGTCTATAATAATACTTATAGGGAACGCTGCATTTATAATCACCAAAGCAATGTATTTATAAAAAAAATAACTTTGCAAAAAGGTATATAGCGCATGTGGTAAAAAATTATCAACACATTAGTTCGGTATGATAATGGGTTATCATTATCTTGTGTCATTAGTTCAGATAATTCTAGATAGCCTAAGCCTTTACTCTTTAGTAGTGGTGGTCTGGTGGGCTGAGCCACGCAAACCAATATCCTAAACCAAAAATTAGATTACCCCTTCTGTTCTGTTAAAAAGTTAATGCACCCCGAAACAACTTTAGCATTGGTGTACATTGCTATGTATGGAAGGCATAATTTCACCTCCATAAATTTGATTAGAGCTAGGCCCCTAGCTGTTGGTGTTGATTGCACTCAAATAAAGCATTTTGTGTAGCGTTCTATGCCCTGCGTTGACTACAAATACCAAGAACATAAGAGAGACGGCCTAAATTGTTTCAGTCCATACTCAATAATAATGAAATCAAGTGAAACTCAAAGCATCTCATCTGCAACTGAGCCTAGTAGAACCATGAAGGCTGTAACATGAAGGTTACTTGGTTATCGAAATCAAGGTGTTGAACTGTTCCCGGAACAGCTGTTCCATCCTCAGAAGTTGTTCACTGATCTGTTCCTTGAGCTGCTGCGAACACAAGGTTGACAAGTACCCTTGTGTGTTCGTGTTTTTGTGTGATGAGTGATTGATCAACGTGATCCACGAATAGATTGAGTCGGTTACTAACTCTATCATGGCGAAAACTATGTGTGCATGTCTCTTGGCTCGTGGTGTGCAGGTGTGGAGCACGGATGCGGTAGTTGACGGCGAGGTGAAGGTCAAGGAGGACGTGCCGTGCCGACGGACCGGGAGCGGTGAAGGACGGACGTGAGGCTTGGACCGAGGGACCCAGAGGCCGAGTGACTAGCCGCGGTGGCTGACACTTGGGACATCGACAAGTGCAAGAAGACATGGAGTGACGGTGTTGACCGGGTCAAGACGGTGGACGCGTGAGTCGAGCGAGGCTCAGGAGGACTTGGCGGGCCGGCCGGTCGAGGACGGCAGTGACACGCGTCGGATGGCGGGGGACGCGTATGGAGTACGCTACCCGCGGACGGTTTGATGGTTTGGGTTTCAAAACCATCGGATGAACGGTTTATGGATTTGGGCCTCAAAACCCGGGCGGAGGTTCCGAGGAGAGACGGACGGCACGTGGCGGCATCGGGGAGTTCGCGTCGAGGCGAAGCTACCGGTGAGTAGGGGCGGTGGCCGTCGGATCAAGATTACACCGGGTTGGACAACAACGCCATTGGTCTTAGCGGTTCAACTCATTTGTATCCAGGGACAAAACTAGAAATGTGTAATAACCCTGTTAAATAGGACGTGGGAGCCCCCGTCTCCCTCATCTCTCCCATTTTTCGTTTTTTCCTTTAGGCTAGGTTTTCTTCTTCCCTTTGCACTTGAGAGAGAGGTCCATGTACTGAAAAAATTCGTGATTGTTTTCTGGGATTTTTGGTATGGGAATGGAGGCCCGAATCCTCCTCGTGTCCTCCGGAATTCCTCATTTCAAGCTGTGATTTTCGTTCTTCGTGTTCTTCAGTTTTCCCTTTTTCGTTTTGGGCCACGATCTGAAAGTCACGAAGATTTAGTTGGGTTTGAGCCATGATTCTTTAGGGATAGCTCACCAACATCATGAAGATCCCCTGTGCGAAATTTGGGGTCAAGAGCTTTTGATTTGGCTGCACTTTCATCGATTTTTGGGCGCTCGGTCTTGACTGCTAGTAGGCTGTCGTATCTCTGTTCGTCCGCAGCTCCGCTTGTCAATTTCTCTCTGTGTGCGCTGTGTCGGATTGGGCAAAGGGCTTCCAAGCACATCAGTGCTATGACCGGCAAGTGCAGCAGTTTGCTCCTTTCCTTTTGATTGGTCGATTTCTAGTCGACTTTGCGGCCACGTTTTTCGATTCGTCGAGCTGTCGAACTTCTGTTCTTCTATTCGTCAGTTCGCGCTCGTGCTCAAACGTGGGAGAACCAGCAGCAGTGCTGCAGCGCCAAGCGTATGAACACAACAGCTGCAAGTGTTTGCTTGAACGTGATTTGCTTCTCCAAATCTTGAGTTGTCACTATCAAGCAATAGTGGTTGGATTATTTAATTTCATTTTCGATTGGCAACTCGGCTGGTTCCTTTCATTTGCCGCAGGGTGTAGGCATGAGTGCACAGCACCTAGGAGATGAATGTTTCAACACCATGCGTATGTTGAACCACCTGCCGAGCTCTGCTAGGACACTGGTGTGGTGTGGATAGCTCCCTCTGTCTGGCTCTTTCTGTAGCCCAAAATTTCCGGACTGTAATTCTAGCATCAGTCTTTTCGTCTGTGGTTAGCACGTTTGAACTCCGATCCGATTTCCGTTTGCTGTGACGGTTTTGTGGTGTTCCGCTGTGTTCCTAGGGAACATCCACCCACTAATTTAGGTCGTGGACATCACGGTGTTTTAGCTGCTCGTTTGGCGGTGAAGTTGGGACAGCGGCTAAATATTTCGAAATAAATTTTACGGCTCTCATTCAAACAACCCCAAACAACCCCCCCCCCCTCGTCGCCGTTTTCGGTCCTTCAGCTGCAGTTGGGAATCCTGATAAAATCTTTGCATCTCTCTAAAAGCTTTTGCGCTCCTCAATGAACCCCTTTGACATACATTGCATTTCCTTCTTGAGGATCTCAATCTGGGCCTCATAGAATTCCTTTGTGAGTAAAGCACATATATATATATTTTTTCAAAAAAGTATCCATACTAAATAAATCTCAAGACAAAACCCTAGGGACATCAAGCTGGGCAATCGAATCGGATGAGAGTTGTCCAAGAAACATGGTAGTACTAAATCTGAAGGTGTCGCATGCCCTATTACAAGAACATTTTGCTGAGCCAGTCACTAAACCCTTACCGTGTCCGATTGTATCTCCCAGTTTCAGGGCCTTTGGAACGCAACAATTCGTACGAATTTGATAGGAATTTTACCTGAATCAATTTATTTTTACAGGAGAAACACGGAAATCAAAAGGAAAAAAAATCTGGCATTCCAAAGGGACCTCAGTTGTTTTCACTTCTATACGCGGCGCTTATCTTACTCAAACATTCACGAGAGCATATAAATGGAAGCGAATCAAATCACTCGAGCTGGCTAGTGACTACTGGACGCATGAATGAATGAAGGAGACAGCTGCCAGCTGACTAGTAAGAAATAAGAAATTGAACTCACTGGTGGTGGCTGCAGCAGGAGCAAGAGCAGCACTGCGACCGCGGTCGCTTCGCTGGCGTTGACCCCTCATCACCAACACGAACAGCATCCTGCTCCTCGTCGTCCCTGCCCCGACGAGGCCGAGAGAACGACATTGCCGGGACCGGGAGCTTGACAGGCGCAAATCGGGCGAAACGTGTCCGGAGGGAGAGCACTAGCAGAGGAGGAACACCACGACGACGAATGACGCGTGATGTTGCAAAGTCCGGGCACCTGAGACGCGGCTGAGCTCGCAAGATTCATTAAGTTCGTTATTTATTCGCGGCCAGGGCGGCGGGGAGGACTGAGGAATACTCGCGCATTTTTCCTCTGCGGTTGCGAGAACGTAAAAAAAAGGTCTACGTCACCTCCTCATGTTTGGAAACGTGTCTATTTAACCCTTCAAGTATAAAACCAGGTATTAAACATATTAAAATTTATAAAACCGGTCAATTTACCCCCTAGAGTGGTTTTGCTAGAGCGGTTTTGCCACGCTGGCACGTTGAGGTGGACTCTATGCTGATGTGGATGATTGGCGAGTGGGCCCCGCTTGTAAGTGACATGTCCTCTCATCGACTGGTGGTCCCCACTTGTCATCCCCTAACTCTAGCTCCTTCGACCTCTAGCTCCTCCCGTCGTAGCCTGGCGGGCGCGACCTCACGGGCGGGTGTGGTCACGCCGAGCGGGTGCGGCCTCATCGGTGACAGTTCCTTCTCTCACCGATGCTCTCACAGGCCTAGCCTCACTGAGAGCTCGCAACGCCGCCGCCGTTCCCACAGCGGTGCTCAGCTGCAGGCAGAGGCGAGCTCGCCATCAAGTCTACGGCCTCCTCCCCCACCTCCCGCGCCCCTCCCTCGGCCTCCTCTACCGCTGGTGCCGCTTCCGCACCGAGCCACCGCTCAGAGCCACGAGAGCGCGTTGTACGCCCAACTCAAAGCCTCCTAGTTCAATTCCATGCACCAGTGGGTAGCTATGGAAGTTACCTAGCTAACGAACCCACAGCAAGAGCTAGCCACGCCTTGTCGTCAATGAATTTTGGAAATTCGTCACCTTGGGTCAGTCCTCGCCGAAGCCCAAGAAATTCGTAGCTATTAAAAGTTTTGCTTTGAGTCGTGTAAATTTTTCTATAATCTCGTTGTAATTTTTTAGTTGTGTCACAGTAAGTTTTGGCCGGCGGCGGTTGCTGCTCTCGTGGGTGGGCGGCGGCCTGCTCATGCTAATGGCGATGCTGGAGATGCCGGACAGTGCGGGGCATAGCACGGCCGCTGCTGGGGCATGTATGCCGTCCTGGGTGGCTTCTACGTGGTGGCGTTGCGGGTCGGCGTGGCGCTCGGGTTCAAGGCACGACATGGACTAGGCGGCGGAGGCAAACAAGGCACGGACCCGGCCACGAGGTCACGTCCGCCCGGCTGCATCCGCCCGAGCCACGCCCGCCCGGCGTGACCGCATCCGCCGGAGCCGCATCCACAAGGTGAGGGCACGTCCGCCGAAGCCCCGCCATCGCGCCGGCCGCGCACGCTCGGCGTGGCCGCACCCGCTCCTGCTCGGCCACACTGCGACGGGAGGAGCTAAAGGTCGAAGGAGCTGGAGGTCCTGACGGTGAGAGAAGGACCTGTCACTTACAAGCGGGGCCCACTTGTCAATCATCTACATCAGCATAAGAGTTCACCTCAGCGCGCCAGCGTGGCAAAACCGCCAAGCAAAACCACCCCAAAGGTAAATTGACCGGTTTTGTAAACTTTAATGTGTGTAATACCTGGTTTTATACTTGAGGGGTTAAGTAGACACCTCTCCAAACCTCAGGGGTGATGTAGACTTTTTCGGAAAAAAAAAGCAAAAGAGGGGGAAGATTCAAACGAGTGGTGTTGCAACACTTGTGCGTGTTCTATTGGTCGCTCAAGTCAAGTCAAGAGGCGACACTTTTTGTGCTTCGCTCGTCTTGTTCTCGGTGATCCAGCAAGATGAACAGTGCAAGGGAGTCGACAGTCGACTGTTAAATGTATCCCTTCATTTCAAAACAGAAGGTGTTCTTCGATTAGTCTCCAAAGTTATACTTTAGCCTATAATTTCTCTTGTATACTATACTAGACATGTTCTTCAGTACACGCAGTACTTTTCAACGAAGGAATAGCCTCACAAGAAATTAGTATCAGCATCAGCCAAATTTCAGCGAAATGAACAGGGCCACTGTTTTTACAAACAAATTAAAATCATGAGTTCATGATCATATGAGAGTGTTTTCAAATATGAAACCAACGATATCACTTTTCTCTTATCGGTCTCATTGAAAAAAAAATACTATGCTTGAATTTTAAAATACGTGTGCATCTTTAAAAAAAATAGAGATGCCGTTTAGTGGCTCTTCATTTATCAATGCGAGAGATGAAGACGTCATTTAGTTGTTTCTCATTTATCAGTATACTCTCTCGGCCTAAAGTATAAGATTTTACATTTCACTGAATTTATATAAAAAATAGTATTAATATTCACAATAGTTCCAAGGATGTAAACTATGGTAATGCTAGATTAATATCATAAAATATTGTTGTTTCAATAAAGTCAGTCCGATTTAGTATAGTTCGACTCAATATAAAAAAAAATAAAACGCTTACATTTTGTGATGGATGAAGTAATACTTATTTCTCATGATCTTGTATGAAAAGTATGCAAATTTTCTACCATATCTATTACTATAAAGGAGTGAAGGAATTAGAAAATACCTGTCAAAAAAACATCTTACCCACCTAAAATCTCCACCCTTAAACATCTAACGCATCTCTATCCCTATAATACCCCACTTCAAATTATCCTACACCCACCAAACAAATCTCACATCTACAGTCACAACCTAAACTACGTCCACCCCACAAAACGTACACAGATAAAGATCACATTAAAAACATGTGCACCGGATTAACTCTCACACATTCTCTCTCCTTACTCAACCACATCCGACGGTCATGCTTGTTTGGATGTGCCTTGCCCCATCGACCGCCTGCGCCCCCGCCCCAGCGACGCGAGACCGCGGCACCCGTCCCATCCCACGCCCGCGACTCCCCCTCTCCGCTCCGCCACCCCAAGCGGCCACGCGCGACTCCCCCTCTCCCCTCTCCCTGCCCTATCACGTCAAGCGACTCCCTCCTCCTACCCCATCGCAGCGGCGGCAGCCTAGCGCACCGGCGGCACCCCCTCCTCTCTCTCCTCTCTCTCTCTCTCACACACCCTCTCTCTCCTAACCTGGCGGTCGGGCCCGACCGAGCAGGGCAACGGCGTAGTGCTAGTGCGATCGACCGTCGGTCGTCGCCGGCCCTCCGCACGGCGGTGCACTCCTCCGCCTCCACATCCCCCGCTCCACCCCCTGCGCAGCATGGTTGGGGTGACGGCGAGCGCCATCGGGTGTCGCGTCGGCACAGCGGGCCCGACAGTGGGCGCCTTCAGCCATTGCAGCACACCGGCACGCGCGGGCTCCACGGTGAAGTGGTTGTGATGCAGGAGGCTGGTTCCATGGTGGAGTTCCCCAACGTCGCTGGCCTCCACGCTCTCTCTGGCTGTGAGATCCACTCTCTACCTCCCTCTCTGGATCTGCGTTGGATCTAGCATTTCACCCAATTTGAGCAGGTAGCAATTGCAGGCAGTCATGTTTAAATTAATCATGTTTTGCTTTTGGATGCAACTTAGGTGTATCTTGGAGGTATGTGATTTAGAATTGGGTCAGAGATGGAAAATTCTTTGGCGTCAAAGCCAAACCTTTGGTTGGCTTTAGATTTGGTTTGCTTAGATATATAGATTAGTTATTGTGTCGAGACATTATTGGAATCTTTTTTAGACTATTGTTGGAATGGATTAATCACCTACTTCTTTGTGTTCTACACTACCACTATTTTCTTGTTTGCCTACAAATCGAGCTTCTCCTAATGCCCGAAGAAAAGACTATCTTGGATCAGCACGAGACCCCTGACGTACTAGATTGGTGAAGCCATCGATTCGGCATTTTCAGGTGATTTGTGGCTTTCAATAGACGAATTGTTAAGATATGGTCTTCAAGTAATTAATCCAAGCAATAAATATCAATTGTGCTCTCTGATTTACAAACAGAGTTTGACCTGTCGAAAGTGCCTGTGTAATGTGTGGCTTGCTAAGAGTAGCTTTCCACCTCCTGTTAAATACAAGCACATGTATTGCTTCCCCTAAATAGCTCTGACTATGGGCATTTAAGATTTGGTTGGTTGGCAATACCGACACTGCTATATTTTGCTAAATTGTTTGCACTTCAAGACTTCAGTAATGTTGCTAGATACCTTTGTTTTACGTGAATGAAAATGGATTGAATTATGTGCTGTGCTCTATGGTTTTTAACATGAAGATGGCTTACCATAACTTTTTAGCTCTATGTTTTTTTCTTCTTTTTCAGTTTTTACGTGACATCAGTTTGGGTTATGCTACTATAACACTTTTGAAGCTTCTTGTAATTGACCATTTTACTTATAATATAGCTCATCGATGTCATTTTGTCGTTTTGAACATTTTGCTCATTGATATCTTCTTTGGTCCTCATTAGTGATGATTGGGCTGAATGGACATGTCAAGAGAGAGTAGAATTTCTTCATAGACTGTCACACCTAATTTTAAGGATAAAATTGAGTGCACTAAACTCATGTGTGCCCAGGGATCAGTCACACACATAAGCTGACAAATTATAAAAAGTATCATCACGGTGTATCTTACATAACGAATAATAGCATCACATAGTCTTACACATCACAGCGGAAAGTAAAAAGATAGCTCTCTTGTGATAGCTCCAACAAAGGGACGGTCGACTAGTTGACCCCAAGCCTAATAATCCTCAGGAAACTCCTCATATCCGTTGTCATCTGTTACCCATCCGGGATTTTTATCCAAATATATAAAATAAACAAGCGTAAGTACTTCCCGTACTTAACAAGACAACAAGGGGTTCATGAGGCTCAAAAAGGATAACACTGGCTTACTGCAGTTAGCACTTTTAGTAAGTCAAGATTTTATCATCAGTTATTATCAAGTTATGCTTAAGCTCCCATTTAAACCCACATGATCATATATCCGATCCAATTGAGTCATGTAACATCATTATAATATC